GGTATCAACCTTCCCACACCTTTCGTTGTGCTACTTTCCATTTGTGACACCAACACCTCATAAACGCGATGCGCATGTATAAAAATGTGTTTCATATAAAGGGGTGGCAAAAAAAGAGACACTTGCATGCCATGCATGAAGGTATACATGCATCTCATTTTAGAAGCCGTCGACCAATTGATCTTCCTTGTGAGGTTGCAATGACGGCAGGCCTGACTCGAGAAGCAGACCATATTTTGGTCTGCTTATGCTCCGAGGATGTGAGGGGAAAGTATAGAAGCGATCTTGCAAAAGTGGGGAACCAATCGATCTTACGACACATTCTCAGCATCTTAATGGTCTCATTGCGATATCCATTGATCTGCAGGTCGGTCTATGTATCTCCGCAGCGCAGAGGGCTCATGGAGGTGATAAGAAGAGTGTGCCGAACATAGAACGCTAACAGTAATACAAAGCGATTGAGCCTTCCAATTGCTATATGAGACACCTTGCAGAGCTTACTGGCACGGTTATTCTACCAATTCCTGCGTAGCCCTCCATTTGCTACACGGGAATTCAAAGCTGGGTCGATGGTAAATGCTCCCAGGGCTAAGTTCAGGAGGAGGAGAGACGGGGAGAACACAAACGGCTTATATCCTTTCCAAAAATCCCTACCTCTCCGCAAAGTTCAGTCCTTAGTGCTATAACTGACTCGCTCACTTACTGTCGCCCCTCCCCCTCAACGGCATGAGCGTCGAGATACCTATTCCACAAAGTGCTGCGGAACCCTCCAACTGTTATATGAGACACCTTATTCTATTGGCGACTATTCGCAAATTGGCTGGGCGTATTGAGGTGAGAGGAGTGGTGGGATACAGCAACCGCTAACGAAATGAGGAACCAAACAAGTGATGAAGTATCAATCTGCCTTGTAGATATGGTTGGTAATGGAGCGTTCATAGTTGGCGATCGTACGTGCGATTAGGCGATTAGGCGATCAGGCGATGATTCAAAAAGAAAAGTATACGTATCGATTAGGCGATTAGGCGAGTAGGCGATAAGAGGATACGTATTGATTTGTTGCTCCGCCCATTGAGCGATCGCCTAATCGCCTACTCGCCTACAACGTTCTATGGGCGGAGCAAACCAATCAATACGTATGTTATCTTCCCCGCCTAATCGCCTTCTCGCCTAATCGCCAATCTATACGTACTGAAAAGAAACTGTGATATGGTTTCTTACTTTTCTCCACAATAGGTCTTGCTGTTCTTTCCGTCAAAGGTTGTGCAGCTGTTTGAACATCCTTAGCGACTGACTTCAACTCTTGCGGAGGTAATTGCGCAGATTTCATTGGCTCCGCGTGTTTTTTCGCGACCTCATTGGCTTCCCTTTTCTTTTTTTCTGGTCTCGCTTTTTTCTCGTGCTTGCGCGGTCTCTTCTTTTTCTTCGGTGCTGTCTTGGACGCCGACGACTCTGATGACTCCGATCTCTCTACTCCCTCCGATTCGGAAGTGGCAAAGTGAGTGGTTTTTTTGTCTTTGCCACATGTTATGGTTAGAATCGACGTAATTAGAACTGCCAGTGAAACACATAATATTTCGCCATTTGACTGCAAAGGAAAATAATGAAATCAAACTTTTAGTCTTGGATTTGACCAGAACTTCTCACCTGTACATCCATTTAAATAAAGCAATAGAGCTAACAACAGTCGACGGTCAATAGAGCTGAAGGAATGAGGCACCCTCCATAATACTCGACTGATAGCAGGAGAAAAAATAATCTCAACAGACTGCTACTTCCATAGCAACTGCTTCCAACTCAAGTAATTACTGACTTTATCCTTTCCTTTCCGGAGATCCTGCCTTCATTTCATATTCCATGAAGTGAGAGAAAACACTCTGTCACCATACCCTCGCACTTTCGTAATACATATTTAGTCCATGCAAAGTATAACTGTAGCTCAAAATACAGGGGGGGGGGGGCAAAAAAAAGACATTTTGCCTATGTCGGACTTCGGCTCTTTTTTCTTCGCAGAGATTGCTGTCGTTGACGGGAGTTCCTCAGCAGAGTATTCCCTAAGTGTCCCTCTATATAGTGAACGCAGGCCCTCCTTCACTGCCCTCACCGTCTTCAGAATATGACGTCATCTGTCACCGTCGTCAGGCTCAAGGAGGTCTACCGTAAGAGCTTCAGCCTGAAGCTCTTACGCAATTTCGTGAATCGATTTAATGTTGGATAGTTTTCTAGAGGCATTAGCTACCACTGTGCAAATCCCCTCGGAACTAGCTTTCCAGTAAGGGTCGTTATGGTACACGATCCTTCGAAGACCCCATTGAGATCGACCAGTGCACCATGTTTCCAGGGCTAATTCTTCTGATGCCGTCCACGTACGTGGCCACTATGAAGATTTTCTTATAGAATGGAATGCACTCTTTAATAATAAGTTGGAACCGTTCGGTCTGAGTTGAGCAAAATGTGCTTAAATCCATCTGGAAGTGGAGGCAAAATGTCTTTTTTTTGGGCCCCCCCTGTATATTGGAATCTGTCGCAAAAGTTCTGGCCACGTTCAGCCATTCTTCTAGTCAATATTATTACAGTAAAAAGCAGTGTTAGCGCCAGGCCTAAAAGCGACATTCAAACAGGGACGGTAGTAATCTACCCCAAACTAGCTGTTAAGGAAAGCCATCACATGCCCGTAACCGGCAAAGAACGTTGTTGAAGTTGGAAGTTAACTAGCTCTGAAACACGCAGCTTCGCGACATCGCAAGCAAAACTTCGCCCCTCCACGAGACCGAACCCAGCCCATGCGCAGCTGAACCGCTATCGTTGCCAGTGCACCACGGAGTAGTACCAGCCACCTACGGAGGGTTGCCTATAACAGTGGGACGACTGACGCTGTTTGCAAAAACCGGACGTCGTGTGGTATCGATCCCCTGCCTTGCCATCGGCGGCGTAGAGACATGGCAGTGCTCCATGCAGCTGCCAATCTCAGCAGGAAGAACACTCTCTGCAAACCTGAAACTCATCGGTGGATGTTAATGATGAGACTGAATCATTGACAGTGCACCACGGAACGTTTAGCAACGTCATCGAAAGCTGTGATAAGAACAGAGAAGTATCCGGAGCTCATGGGTTTCGACAGGGGTTTCACGCGGAATCGATCCTGTGACTTGTCACTGGCAGCGTGGAGCGTTGCCACTGAGCTATTGCCAGCGCGTGACATTGCCTGAGAGTTATGCACATGAGTGCAGGTTGTGGCTGTACCGTGTGAGAGCTTGTAGCAGTTCGGGCGCCAAAATAGTCGTGAGCTAAAGTGTACTGCACAAGAGCGCACTCCAATATTCGGTTGATTTCTGCATACAGGATCATGGAACGTGGACCCATTGACAATGATTCTTTTTTAAAGTTTGCTACTATATCATTTTTCGCATTCCATCATCCGCTAATTAATGTGTTGCCAAAAGAAGGCGTGTGCTTTTCGCTGTCGCCATGTTTCTAATTTTGGTTAAGCCGATTAAATCTGCGACAATGGTTTAGACATGCCCCTGCATTTTTTCCGCGGAATGCGTTCACGCACGAGGAACGCTCGTTACTATCGTCACGATCCGAGAATTAACTTGTCTATAAATCAATCTCTGATTCGTCAGAGGTTTCGGTTTACGGACGACCAGCTCGACTTGGATAACGGAGCTGCTGAGCCCCCTTCTGGGGGACGAAGACCGACAGCCTTGGGCTATTAGTCGGAGAATGCAGGTAGACGAGTTAGTTGAAGCGGTGCAGTGGCGAGTATTAGATAGCTTGTTCCAGGTGTGCATAGGTATTCGGTACCTATGCACTAATTCATTCCAGATTGTAGTGGCCGACACTGCCGGATGCTGCCAAAAGACGGTGTCCAATATCATTGCTCGTGTTGTGGATGCCTTGGCGCATCCCGACATCGTGCAACAGTTCATAAAGTTCAAGCCCGAGGACGAGCAGTGGTGCAGGGCCCGATCCAATGAGTTTGCAAGGACCGGGAGGATGTCCAGTGAGTAGTGAAAGTAGTGCAAGTGTTACATCATGAGCGACGTTAATATAATACTATCACTTTTAGATGTGATCGGAGCCGTGGATGGCACACTGGTCCGGATAAGGACTCCGGCTGTTGACGGTTATCAGTACGTATGCAGGAAAGGAACATCTTGCCTCAACGTCTGCTTCATCGCAGACGCTGTTGGCCGTGTCCTGTACGTCAACGCCGGGTCCCCCGGATCAGTGCACGATTCCGGTATTTGGCGTAATTCCTCCCCTGCGGCGGTCTTCAACAGTGGAGCAGCCGTCACAGGTTATCGCCTTCTTGGTGATAACGGTTATGCCAACGAGTAATGCGGAATAATAACGCCATTCCGGCCCACTGCCGTCCGAGGGGACGTGAGGAAAAAGCGATATAACCACATCATTGCCGTATGCGGAGATGTGGAGATGACCATCGGTCGTCTGAAATCGCGTTTCCCCATTCTCTCGTCAGAACTGAGAGTGGGGCCTCAACGAGCGTCAAAGATTATAATTGCATGCGCGGTTCTGCACAACATAAGCTTGTGCCTGAACCCCAGCTCCATGCGACAACTCGGACGAAGGAAGGCCACCATGGCGCATCCGGACGGCAACGTGACCGACGTCCGCCACTACATTGTGGAGCGACTTTAGACGCGGCCCTGCAGGTATGCGTAGTTTAGCATCGAGTAGGTTGTTGAACTCAAGGGGCGGCGCTAAGTATGAGCTCATGCCGGTGCAGTGGGATGGTAGTGTAGGTGAGGAGGAGGGTCATTGGGTTTGAATCCCAGTAGCGGTAGGGTGAGAAGTAAATTTGTTATTGGTGAATTGAAGTGGTTTTCACTTTGATGGTAAATGCCAAGGACCTTGGGTTACCACGTTATGGACAGCTTCTTTCATTCGCTCTCAAATGGCTACCAATACACGTGCTATCCTTACCCTTTTGATGCCCGTTTGAATTTTCGCTTTCTTTTAGTGCATTGTGAAAGTTATTACCGTTCCGTTATCGATGTCTCGGTTTCGCCTCACCAAATGACAACATGGACTCACCAATTGTTACTCAATCGTCGATTGCTGCAACCTATACATCCATTCGATCCTCGTAAGTCTTTGGGTTACCACTTGTGTTCTCAAATTGCTTTATCAAAATCTTCCTCAGGTCCGTTGACTGCAAGGGCAGGAAAGACGGCTATTACTCAGATGGGTGTGTGCCCGATTTATGTACTGCGCTGATGGAGTGGCCTCCCCAATGGTGCGTTCTGTGATTGATGGAGTTGCCTCTCCAATAGTAGGTTTATGAATAATGGTCTCTTGGCGTTCACATTCGTAAGCTGTTTCACTTTTAGACGTGCCCTGTTTCGATTGTGATCAACGAGAGGAAAGGGTACTGCGACTACTTATAGAGCTGCTCCATTGGCCAAGCTCCATCAATGATGGAGTCGCCTCTCCAATGGTGGGGATGTGAAGAAACGGTGCCCTAGCTTTCGTATATGAAGCCGTTTCACTTTCAGGGTTGCCCGACATCACTCGTGTTCAATGAGCGGAAAGGATACTGCGATTACGTGGAGAAGTGCTCCGTTGATACCATTCCAGCTATCCCTGTTCCTGCTGCTCCACCGAAAACCTTCGCGCCTGCTCCGGTCGTCTCTTATACGACTTCAGATGTTTCAGTGCAGTCTTCATTGACTGAAGCCAGAAGTGTTTCCAGCATTCCATCGCATTCACCTTCTCGGCCCTTCCCTCTGTCTGTTACTATCACTTGATGTGGACCGCGGGGACAGTAGTTTTATAGTTTTCGTTGAATGTTCAGACTGTTCTGTGTAGGCGTAGGGACAGTATAGAAATTCTGTTGTCACACTTGTGTTGCGGCGGAGCAAATGATGGGACTACTTTTTGTCTGTGGTTACATTCGCCCGTAATTCATTGTCTGTACACGGTGACATTTTGTATGCAGTGTGTTGATGGGGAAGGCGCATATCAGTGATATACTTGTCCAGCTAATTTGCAGTGTATTTGACGAGCTCAGCTTGGTGAGGTTCGAGATGTGTGATGAACTGGCTGCAGGCTGTAGCAACTGGCTGCAAAATTCTTTCCTCTCCTACCATCCAAAAAAGGCACGATTTCGGCCGTATCACAAGTCTTATTTTACTCCCAGGTCAACTGAACTTATAACAATCTAGGACCGACTTGGTCTTATGAGAGTGTTGATAGACAAAGTTAGTCTGGCGTTTATTCAAAATTTCTGGAAAATGCATAGGTGTGTGAACAATTTTTGTGCATGTCGGATCACCTTTAAAAAATGTCGGTTTATTTGTGTTGAAGTGAGGATTAGAAAAGTTTGTTGTGAACAGTTCTTTGGGAAAGTTACTTCCGTTGATTTCCCATTGTTGATATTATTAATGTTATTGTTGTTTATACTATTTGCCTTAATACATGGTATAAGATAAGTCTCCGAAAAAACTGTAATTCATGTAATGGTTCAACAACAAATGCTCAGAACTTCAGAATCAAACGAAACTGCACATCAATTACGGACACATGCAACTGCTAGTACAGGCATATGAAGTTATCTTAGTTGGTAATTGCAAGAGTGGAGAGAAATGAAATTAAATAAGTTATATGTTTTCTATTGACAGTGATTGCAAAGAAATTCTACTGCAGAGGTCATCATCGTCATTTCCTGCAACTGGTTAGGAGCCGACGGCTGGGAAACCAGAGAACTTGAAATTGTTGCCGAAGCCTCGCTGCTGTTGTATATTATTCTGAAATATGGTATATCGTATAAAAACTAAGATAAGCAAGAACGAAAATGACAGAAACTCACATCATTAAGATTCCTATGATCCGTTTTTCTTTGAGCGCGCAGGATCTTGACCATGTTCGCGCTTTCGCTCTCCCTCTCTCGGGGGGGGGGTGGTTATGATTCGCTGCCTCTTCCACAAACGCGAAAAGGAGATGTCTATCCAATGATCAATCATGCGACTTCGCCTCGGCTGCCTAAAATAAGCATGGTGGTGAAGGGAGTCGCAGCGTGGTGTGGAAGGACCGTGGGATGATGAATAGGAAAGAAGGACTATTTAATACCGTTACATCGAAATAGTAGGGGTATTCGATGTGCGGCGCTGGGGGGATGGGCAATCTTCTCTATCTGCATTCGTAATAAAGCAATCTTTGCTTTGCTGTCCTATAATGGAAAACAATAAGAGAGGGCGATAGCCAAAAGTGAAAGAAGCACAACAAACACTAACAGCGAGCATATTTTTAGAATCTTCCAGATATCTTCGGCTGGCGGAAGTGTTGGATGACATGAACTTTTCCAAGCCATCCTTTACCTTCATTTCTTTAGCTAGATCTTTCTAAAATTACGTTTGATAGCAACGAGTTATAGCCACTTCAACAACGTTTTGTCGACCGAGCAACTAAGGAACAATGTCTGATTTACAACTGTATATACGCAAAAGGAAGGTACAAATCGCACCTGCAGAGAAGAAAGCCTAGAATTTCCGAGAGTATGATGACTTCTTCGGTCACTGACATCAACATCACTTGCCAAATCAAGGGGAGCACCAGTAGCTCCCAAAATTGGTTCATCACACCTCGACTCTCGTAATTCTAAATTTATTAAACTTACAGCAGTGCTATGCGTCGTTTCGTTCAATTTTGCAATTGCAGTTTTACAAAACCCGTAGACATCAGTTGATATATGTAGTCCATAGTAAGATTTTAGACTACTGCGACCAAATCCCTAAAGTTACCACTACTATAAAAATATAATAGAAGGCGGAAATTACTGAAGGCGAGACGAATTGCACAACCACCCATTAAATGGATAACAAAATTTATGGTGCTCGATCCCGAGTGTTTGGCCTGCAGTGAACTTTTTTGTTTAACCATAGAACAAGCACGAAAGGAAAGCTGGAAAAACGCGACAAAAACGGATAAGTGAGAAATAAGGGAAAGCACATACCTTAATGCAACAATGTTAGCGGAAGCTCCTTGCATAACATCTCACAAACTTCAAGAAATGTTGTGCACCCAAACAACTGAAAAATGTTATTCGAAATCAATAGAATGAAGATGACGGTGGGTTGAGTTTAGTGGACACTTGAAAAACAATCCGGCACTGGATCCGTTACATACGAGCCGGCTTGCTGCCAGATGCAACATCAGAACGAGACGAAATGAAAGTAATGCATGCGGGGCCCACTACAGAACCTCAAGCATTGACGTGCGACTACAATTGCTGAAGGTGTTGGTGCGCGTGCGGGATGTTGGCGTTAAGGAAGCACCTCTTCCAAGCGGATGTTGTGCCGTCTCCTCTCATTAAATGAGGCAGTTGCACCCCCATTGCCTTCAGCAGCTTTTTTCGACCTCGATTTCTCTAGACCTCTCAATATAAAAAGATTGATTCTCCACTGTAACAGTTCCATCTGATACTGAAGAACATGGCCAGCCGCTGGCCCCATGAAAGCTGCCACAACCCTCCTCCAGCACAGTTTAAATTCTGCAAAGTTTGTAGAGCTTCATCGCCGTCGATCTATTCAGCAAACTTTCGTAGACTATAGAGAAGAATCCGCTCTTTTATTGTACGTCGCAAATCTGTAGAGAAACGAGTCGCTTTTATCACATAAAACAAGCGACAATTTGATGGACGACCCTTCAAATTGGTGATTTGTCGCGGCACGCCCCTATCAAATTTTTTGGACTTTCCAGCTTCTTCCGTATAGCTTGGCTGTACAAACCATATACGCCCAGGTTGGGCAGAACCTCCTCTTGGTCTTACGCACGAGTGCTTCTTCTTCTTCTTCTTCTCCCTAGCGTTAGTCCCGCGCAGTCGCAGGGTCCGCTGTCTTTATCAGTCGTCGCCACTTCGCTCTGTCTAGGGCATCTTCTGCTGTGGCCGTGATTTCACTTAGGTCCTTCTTGATTACGTCCTTCCACCTCTTCTTTGGGGCACCTCGCGGTCGCTTGCCTTGCGCTTCGAAGTCCATTGCTTTCTTATTGGGTGGTCCTGTGGCCTCCTTAGCACGTGCCCATACCATCGCAGACGCTGTTCCCGTACCTTCAGCTGGACAGGGGCAGTCTGCATGACCGCTCTGACCTCCTCGTTTCTGACCCTGTCCAGTCGCGTCCAGCCAGGCCCATCCTCAGCATCCTCATCTCAGCGGAGTGAAGCTGCCTTTCGTGATTCTTGTTCAGGGGCCAGCACTCGCTGCCGTATAGCATCGCAGGCCTCACCACTGCCCGATACACCTTTCCTTTCAGTGTTCTGGAGCACCTTCGATCGCAGAGGATCCCAGTGGACTCCCTCCACTTCATCCAGGCCGCGTTGATTCGTGCCTTCACTGCCTGATCCACACTTCCGTCGGCTGCCAGATCGCTCCCGAGGTATCTGAAGTCCTCCACTCTTTCGATGATCTCTCCATGGCCGTCTACGATTGGCTCCAATCCCTCTTCAGAGCTCAGGAACTTGGTCTTCCGGACATTCACAGCCGAAGCCCACCTTCTGCCAGCGCTTTCTGCCATTCTGACCTTTGCCCTCCTTGTTTTTAGTTACTTCTCTGCTTTCGCTATCAGGGCAGATGTCGTCACGCCGCTAGACGCGATTCGTCCTCTCTCACTCGGTCCTGCATATCGAGCGCTGTTGCCTCATAATTAAGATGGTAAGCGCGGTGGACTCTCAAGAGCCTCTATCTTCCGGTAGGTGGTTAACCCATCTTTTAGCCAGGTTAGACATGTAGTGAGCCAGGTGGGGAATGCGGCCTCATCTCCTTCGTTAGTTTCAGCCATGTGGAAAACGAAAGATGTGGCGGAGTGCGGATGGCTGCCTTCGCCCCAGTCTGTAACATGTATTCAGCTAATATCAACCTAGAAGGGAGATCAGCAGTGGTCTGCGCACCTTCCGCTCCACTGAGCAGCTCTCCACTCAACAAGTAACTGCTTCGACGAAGGTAATTGCGGCGAGAAATAAATTTCCGATGGCCGCGGCATTACTAACGAGGATCACACTATAGTGCTGCGAGGCTATTTGGAAAGACTCAGTTTAATAAGTGTTCGCGCGTATCTCCGTCGGGTACTTCTGCATCCTTGGATCAAGTTTGTGCCTCTTGCGATGAAGAAGATGGCATCCGTAGTAGACCTTTCAGGCATGAACCCGAACTGTTCCTGAGAGATCGGGACCAGCTCCCGCAGTTTCGAGTCGACCAGTCGCTCGTACAGCTTCATTGTATGAGCAGTCAGCTTGATGCCCGCGGTAGTTAGAAAGCACCATTGATCGCGTCGCTTCTGCTTGAATCAATCGAGAGTCCAATCGCACGTGCGCGATACCTTGCTGCGCTTCTATTATTATATCGATTTGCACACCAGATGACGTACATTTTGTTTCGTCTCGCATGCTTCCTCGAAGATACTTACCCTGTCGCGCCTGAGATAGCGTTACCTATGATGTTCAGGAATTAGCTAATTGTACGCAAATTGTCTTGGCGTTAAGCAATCCTGAATCCATACCTCGCTCAAATGCCGCCTGGCTTTTTTCTTATGGCCTATTGCGAATTGGCACCTTAATACTGGACCACCGCCTTTCCAACCTTGCATCCTCACGTGTTCCCTTAGTTCCTCGTATGGCCGAAAACCTTTGAGTGCTGCCTCTTCTTGAATGCGTTTGTATTCGTGATTAGTGTGGCAATGCGTTCGCCTCTGTGCCTCTAGTAGAAAAGCTCTGCTCTTAGGAAAATCTCGTAGAAGGGGAATGGTTCAAATTTAGAGATATTATGCCTCCTCAATAATTGCTGCAATGATTGTAGCGTAGGTATCTATATAAAACTGAAAGGATAAACGCGGATGAAGTCCAACCATCAAAAAATGTAGACGTGGAATGAACCCAGTTTTGCTTGTCACACCTATAAAGGGGGGGGGGTTGTATTAAAAAGCCATTTTCCCTTTAATTTAAAACGAGTTTATCACATTTCACTATCTCAAACTGAATGTCTCTAACTGAAACTTTAGAGTACATTTCAATGATTTTTTTAGAAAAACTTCATTTAATGTAGCGGGAGCCTTTGTTATATAGTACTCTCCCACCTCCTCTTGACTTCGGCTGGCTTCCTCAGGATGGCACCGTTACTGCTCTTCACACTCTTCACCACCCTGATGTCTTGAGTAGCCCGATGCCGGGCTTTAGCCAGTCTGAAGACGAACTTCTCTGCGTTTCTGCTTTCCAACTTCTCGTACAAGGCGTCCATTTCCGTGTTCTTCGCCTTGGCGACGGCAGCCTTAGCGAGCCTCTTGCAACTCTTGTAGGCAGCGAGGTCCTCGGGGCTCCGGGTCTTCTGCCAGCGCTTGTATGCTTCCTTCTTCTGCTTCACGACTCGCTGGACCTCCTCGTTCCAGAACCACGCTGCCTTGTCTCCTCTGAATCCACCTCGCGTCTCGCCCAGTACCTCCTTGGCGCATCGTAGGATGATCTCAGCTGCATTGCCCCAAGTCCGCTGCACTGGTCCCTCAGGATCTGGGAGACCAACTTCCATTATCCTTCGTTTGAGGTCGCTCTTCTCTGCTTGGTGCAACTTCCACCACCGGATTCTCCTCTCGGTTCTTACCCTTGTCTTCTTGGGAGGTCCATGGCAATGTCTGCCAGGAGGGGCCTGTGCTGGGAGCCAGTCTTCGCCAGGGAGTACCTTGATATCCTTCACAGTTTTGAGGGATGATCTTCTTACCAGCACATGGTCGATTTCCGTCTGTCTCCCTCCACTGCTGTAGGTTACCTTCTGAGTCTCCCTTTTCGCGAAGAACGTGCTGCAGATTGCCAGATCGTGGGCTGTAGCCAGGTCCAGGACCCTCTCTCCCTCAGCGTTCCTCACTCCTATCCTCTACCTCCGTGCACCCTTTCCAGGCCTCTTCTGTCACTGCCGACGTGACCATTCAGATCACCTGCTATGGTCAGGTAATCGCCTTCCGGAATCGATCTGATGGCTTCGTCAAGGCTCAGGTAGAACTCGTCCTTCTCACTCTCGGGGCATCCGGTCTGCGGTGCGTACACGAGAGTATTGACCAGTACCCCTCCTTCGTGTCTATCCTCACAGCCATGATCCGATCGCTGATCCTGTTCACAGCGGAGACTCGGTTTGAGTTTACGCTCATGAATTTTCAGAGGACTCAACAACTTCTCCTTTCTGAAGGGAGGAATGTAATCACCTGACCACTTAACCGCACCGTACGCCATCAATGCCTTCGTGATCTGCTTGCCACAGTATTTTTGGTGTGATGACGAATGGACTATGTCGGTGAAAGTGGTGGTTAGCACCGCTGCACAAATCACCAACCGCAGCAAATGAAGCATCTCCATTTTCAGCCAGTGACAGTTTTCACCTGATTAGGCAGGGATAGCCGAGTGGTTAAGAGGTCAGACTCATGTCTGCACCTCTGAAAAACCGCGAGTTCGATCCCTGCCGAGGCTCGAAACCATGCCCTGCAAAAATTGCAAAAATGGTTCTAGTACCAGCGTCAGGCCCAGGTTGACAGGCCGGCTGATGAATACCCCAGTCACACCAACCATGTCTAAAAGTTGTCAAAGAATCAGTGATAAAGCTAGGACGTCACCCGGAAGTGGCGCGCAGAACCCCCGCCCGAGTTCTGTGGTCAGTATGCGAGGGCTACCGAGGAGTGAACGGCCTCGGCCAAAGAAGCTAGTTCGAATTGGAACTGTGAACGTAGGGTCGCTAACTGGAAGGTCCCGAGAGGTTGCTGATCTGATGACGCGCAGAAAAATTCAAGTCCTATGCCTTCAGGAGACACGCGATGGAAAGGTGCTAAGG